CCCCAGCTGCTCCCAGGCTGTGGAATGCCATCCCTCAAGAGCCATAGCCAGGCCTCTGGAGGAGCTGAGCCCTTGGGGACATCCCTGGTCACTGCCACCACCATGCCATCAGACCCACGCCACGGCCACCAGCCCTTCCCATCCCCGTGGAAAGCCTGTCCAGGCTCCCATCCCAGCCCCTGCCCTTTGGAAAACCATCCTGAGCAGAGCCATCCCGAGGGATTGCTTCCTCCTCTTCTTCCTCCCTTGCTAAACCTCGCTCATCCAGCAGCCAGACCTTTTCCAGAGGCTGCTCCTGTGGGATCCCTGAGCACAGCCCCATCCAAACTTCCCAACTTTTCCAAGGAATGGAGCACATTTGGACCAACCCTTTAATTTTAAGCTGATGCAGCAGCACCTGCAGCAAATCCCAGCCCGGACAGAACTTTGCTAACCTGCCTGAGCCAGGAGAAGCTGAATTCCGGGACCTGGAGTTCCTCCCAAATTCCCAGCTCACGTGCACCCAATTATAGCCCTTGTTGGGCAATTAAAATTATACAAGCAGCTGCCTATCAAAGCTGAAGCAATTAATTAGAATGAAATACTTTTAGGGGAAATGAGCCTTGCCTTATTCCCAAATTCCTGGAGGAGCAGGTGTGTGGGAGCTGGGATGCTGCAGCTTGTCCTGGTGTGCTGTTGCCCAGGCAGGGCCTCGGGGTGGCAGCTCTGGTAACCTTTTAATTCCCAAAAAAAAGCTGATTTTAGGAGCTACCTGCTCCAGACATCCACAGTTTTCAGTGCTCTCCCTCCAGGCTTGAGGCAGCCCCCAGGAAGAACCTCCTGCCCCACTGCCGGGGGTTTCCAGCCCCGTTTTTCCCTGGGAACATCCACCTTGATGGTTTTGAGGGAGCAAACAGCTCCCAAAATCCCTGTGCCTCCTTCCCTGGCAAGGCAGCATTCCCAGCCACCCCCACCATGCTCATTTAGCACCTTCCTCCTCCTCCTCCTCCTTTCCCACCTGTGTGGGGCTGCTCCCTCCTTCTCCAGCGCTTTTCCCGAGGCACCCATTTTCCCCATCAATGTTTTGCCCCTCATTCCTGTTTCTGTGGCACATTTGGGGCCAGTGCTGCCTCCCAACCCTGGGCTGTCCCTTCCCACACCTGCAGCCCCCCCGGCACTGCCCAGCCACCGGGTCCATCCCTTCCTGGGGTCACCTGTGACCCCCTGTCCTGCCTCGAGCCCCACTTTTCCCATCCCTTCCATCCCCACTGCATCTGCTGGGGTCCAGGGGGGGTCACCAGCTCCCTGAATCCCACCCAAGGATGCTCCCAGCACATCCCACCCCGCTGGACCACTGTGGCCCTGCTCGGGGCTGGGAGGAGAACTGGGTCAGCCGTGTAACCATGGAGATGCTGAGGGAGATGCTGAAGCAGCGCCAGCACAGCCCCGGCTCTCCAGAACCCTGGAAAGATTCACCCGCCCTGGCACCCTCCGGATCCGGCCGGGATGGGGCTGCGAAGCTGAGCCCAGCCTCCTCCTCCTCCTCCCCGGCGCAGGGCCGGTAAGACGCCCCCATCTCCTTTTTTTTTTAAAATATTTTTTGGGGTACCACGAGCGGGGAGTGGCAGAGCTCGGCCCCCGCCATCCACACGCAACAGGGATCCCGATTTTCCTGCCGCTTGTGCTCATCCAGCGGGGATGCTCCAGCCATGACACGGCTCCCGGCGGTGTCCGCGGGCTCCGTGCATCCCCCGGGATCCGCCTTTGCCTCGCCGGGGAACTTCCCGGGGCTGCCGGTGGTCGTTGTTTCCCGCAAGGACGGAGCGTGGCGGCGGTGAGCGCTGCGGGGGCTGCGGCGCTGCCCCGGGAGCTCGGAACGCGGTCGGTGGCAGGGCAGGAGCCGGCTGGGATGCGGCGTCACGGCTGCGAGCATCCCTGCTTGGGATCCGGGGAACGCATGCACGAGGGGAAGGGGAAGTGTGTGTTTGAGGGGAAATGTGTGTTTGGGGGGGAAATGTGTGTTTGGGGGGGAAATGTGTGTTTGGGGGGGAAATGTGTGTTTGAGGGGAAGTGTGTGTTTGGGGGGGAAATGTGTGTTTGAGGGGAAATGTGTGTTTGGGGGAGAAATGTGTGTTTGGGGGGGAAATGTGTGTTTGAGGGGAAGTGTGTGTTTGGGGGGGAAATGTGTGTTTGAGGGGGAAATGTGTGTTTGGGGGGGAAATGTGTGTTTGAGGGGAAGTGTGTGTTTGAAGGCAAGGCTGGTGCGGTTCCCTGACTCCCCCCGCGCTGACGGGAAGGGGGAGCCGGGGCAGGGGCAGCAGCGGGCTGAGGGGGCTGTGGTGGCATCGAGGGGGCTGTGGTGGCATCAGGGATGCTGTGGCCATGCCAGAGATGCTGTAGTCATACTGAGGATGCTGTGTTGACATCAAGGGTGCTGTGGTGGCATCAAGGGGGCTGTGGTGGCATCAGGGATGCCGTGGCCATGCCAGAGATGCTGTGGCCATGCTGAGGATGCTGTGTTGGCATCAGGGGTGCTGTGGCCATGCCAAAGATGCTGTGGTGATGCTGAGGATGCCATGGCCATGCTGAGGGTGCTGTGGTGGCACCAAGGATGCTGTGGTGGCATCAAGGATGCTGTTGTGGCATCGAGGGGGCTGTGGTGATACGGAGGATGCTGTGGTGGCATCAAGGATGCTGTGGCCATGCTGAGGGTGCTGTGGTGATACTGAGGGTACTGTGGTGATACTGAGGGTACTGTGGCCATGCTGAGGGTGCTGTGGCTGTGCCAAGGATGCTGTGGTGATACTGAGGGTACCGTGGCCATGCCGAGGGCACTGTGGTGGTGCTGAGGATGCTGTGGCCATGCTGAGGATGCTGTAGTGGCATCAGTGATGCTGTGGCCGTGCCAAGGATGCTGTGGTGATACTGAGGATGCTGTGGCCATGCTGAGGGTGCTGTGGTAGTGCTGAGGATGCTGTAGTGATACTGAGGATGCTGTGGCCGTGCCAAGGATGCTGTGGCCATGCCAAGGCTGTGGCAGCCACAGTCTCCAGCACTCAAACCCAATCTCCAGCCCAGCTCATCTCAGCACCAGGCACCCCTGAACCCCTCACCCAGCACCTGCTCTGGGCAGAAGCAGATTGTGCAGAGAGGGGTAAAATCACGGGCAGGGGAAAGCAAATCCTCCCTTGGGGCCGAGGAGCCGCTCGGCTTCCTTTGCAGTGGATTATCCCTGTGTGTGTTGCATTGGAAATGATCCCATTAGCGCTCTGCTCTCCTGATCTAATTTGCTCCCACCAGAGCCTGGTGCTCTCCGGGCGGCTGCAGCGGCGAGCGGGGAGCAGCAACAGGAGCCCTTTGTGCTCTCCTGGCCCTGCAGGGCTGCGTTGTCACAGGGATTTCTCACCTGGAACATGGAGGGGCCTGGGCTGGGCCTGGCAGAGGCCAGGATTTGTGTTTGTTCAGGCACAGCCTAAGCCAGGGTTGCTGGTGGGGAAACTGAGGCATGGGGTGCAGCAGGACACTGCGGCTGGGGAAGTGTTTGCGATCCATTCCCCGTGTCAGGTGCATCCTCAGGGAAAACTCAGGGATTGCAGCAGGTTTGGAGCCTGAGAGTGGCGTGTGGCATTGGGAAGTGTCATCCCAGAGGTCCCCAAGGCAGCAGATCAGCCCTGACCCCTCCTCCAGGAGTGCTGCACATCAGCACAGGGCTGTGATGGGGCTGGAATGCACCTGGTGCCAATGGCTCCATCCCTCTGGAGTGGGGCTCATCCCACACCGATGGCTTTATCCAAGGGATCCACCCCTCTGGAGCTGGGATACATCCCACACCAACAGCTTTATCCCAGAGGATCCATCCCTCTGGAGCTGGGATAGATCCCACACTGATGGCTTTATCCAAGGGGTCCACCCCTCTGGAGCTGGGATACATCCCACACCAACAGCTTTATCCCAGAGGATCCATCCCTCTGGAGCTGGGGGTCAGTGCTGACCCCCCCGGGCACCAGGAGTCAGGAGAAGGCCGTGGGTCAATGCCTGGGCAGAGCCAGGAAGGAAAACCCCGGCCAGGAGGGAAGTAATTAATGATATTAATGACTAATCACCCACTCACCCCTGCAATTGATAAATCCACGAGTTCAGCGGTGCTGGAGCTGATCCCACAGCTCCTGCCAGGTCTCATCCATGATTCCCAGCAGGTCTCCTCCCAGCTGTGCCCGCTGTGGAGCAGCAGAGCCCCCACCCTGCCCCACTCTCCCTCTGAAAGGGAAACATTTTTCCAGGCGCTGCCTCCATCCATTATCACAAAGTGGCTTCGCTTGGCCTGCAGTTAATAATTCACCTTTCCCTGGAAGATGGATGCTCCATCCCGCTGGAGTTTAAATATTCATGGCCAAGGGAAGGCGGCTGGGCTGTGTGGGAGCTCTGGCATCCACCCCTGGTGCTCCCATCCAGGGATTCCCATCCCATCACCTGGAGCAGTCTGACCTGGACACGGTTTGGAGAAGGGGATGAGCAGGGAAAACTTGGCTGGATGTGATTTTGGATGTCCTCAGGGGTGGATGGGGCTGTACCCAAGGGACCCCTCATGCCAGGCTGGGCAGGTTGGTGGCCCTCAGAGCCTTCTGCCCATCCAGGTGTCTCCTGGATGTTGGGAGTGTCCAGATCCTGCAGGGAGCTGAGGCAGGGCTGGATGTTCACCCCAGGGGTCCTGACCGCTTCCTGCTGCTCCCATAAGTGGGGGAAAATCTTGGAATGTACTGGAACCCACAAGGATCACCCAGTCCAACCTCTGGCCCTGCACAGACACCCCAAAATCCCACCCTGTGCATTCCTAGGAGGATGCTCTGGCATCCTCGGGAATGCTCCCGAGGGAGCTGGGGAGTTCCCAGCGGGAAAAACCTTTCCTTGATATCCACCCCTCAGTGGGTGACGCCACCTGAATTTCCTGGATTTGTCAGCACCTCGATGGCACCACCCACCCCTGCCACAACCCCTCAGCGTCCCCAAACTTGTCCCCGCAGCTGATCCCGGGCAGCAGAGCCGGTGCCGGTGCCGGCGGGCGCGCTGACCATGTTCAACGGGGATGCCAGCTCCTCATCTGCCAGGAATGTGGTGCGCAGCTCCAGCATCAGCGGCGAGATGTACAGCCTGGAGAAGAGCGCGCGCGGCAGCGCCGACTCCGTCTCCGTCACCGTCACCGCCAGCAAGAAGCGACGCTCCAGCCTGGGCGCCAAGATGGTGGCGATCGTGGGGCTGTCCCAGTGGAGCAAGAGCACCCTGCAGCTCAACCAGACCGGTGAGAGGCCGCCCTGATCCCATCTTGGGGTTTGAGGTGGCCACCAGTCGTGTTTTCGTTTCCCGCGTGTGATGGAGGCGTCTGAAAATGGCGTCTAAAAATGACATCCAGAAAAGCTACACCCAAAAATGTCACCCAACAAAAAATGACCCTGCAGCTCAGCCAGACCAGTGAGAGGCCACCCTGATCCCATCTTGGGGTTTGAGGTGGCCACCAGTCCTGTCTTCATTGTCCGCGTGTGATGGACGCGTCTAAAAATGACATCCAAAAAAACTATACCCAAAAATGTCACCCCAAAAAAACTATACCCAAAAAAATGACCCTGCAGCTCAGCCAGACCGGTGAGAGGCCACTACTCTGATCCCCCTCTTGGGGTTTGAGGTGGCCACCAGCCGTGTTTTCATTGTCCACGTGTGATTGAGGCATCTGAAAATGACATCCAGAAAAACTACACCCAAAAATGTCACCCCACCATCTTGGGGTTTGAGGTGGCCACCAGTCCTGTCTTCATTGTCCGCGTGTGATGGACGCGTCTAAAAATGACATCCAAAAAAACTATACCCAAAAATGTCACCCCAAAAAAACTATACCCAAAAAAATGACCCTGCAGCTCAACCAGACCGGTGAGAGGCCGCCCTGATCCCATCTTGGGATTTGAGGTGGCCACCAGCCGTGTTTTCGTTGCCCACGTGTGATGGAGGCATCTAAAAATGGCGTCTCAAAATGACACCAAAAAAACTACACCTAAAAAAATGACACCCAAAAAATGGCGCCTGAAAATGACATCCAGAAATGACACCCAAAAATGACACCCAAAAATGGCACCTAAATGCCTTATATTATAATAAGGCATATTATATAATAGTGTATATATATATATATATATATATATATATAAATATTATATATGTATAATGTATTATACATATATATTATATAATATATATGGCATATATTATAATATAATATTATAATTACTATTATATACATGATATAATTCTAACAGCTTCAATCACTCCCCAGTTAATATTTCCCTACATTTTAAGGCTGATCCAGGGAGCTGCCAGGACTGGGCAAACCCTTGCGTGGGGACAGCCCTGAACGAGCAGCACAAAGCTGGCGATGCCACCACTCACACATGGTCACACAGCAGGGCCCGGGGACAGTGCCAGGGGTGGCCGCTCGTGCCACCCTCCTCCTCCTCCTGCTGCCATCTGCCACTGCCAGGGACACGTGGTGGAGGAAAGGGGACATCAGGTGGTGCTGGGGCTGTGCCCACACCTGTGGCACTGCGGATTGTCCCCTCTGGCACGGGGACAGGGATTTTGGAGGACAGGGGGATGGAGAAAGGGGACATCAGCAGCATTGGGGCTGTGCCACTGAGGGTTGTTGTCCCCTCTGGCATGGGGACAGGGGGATTTTGGAAGCCAAGGGGGTGGAGAAAGGGGACATCAGGAGGCTCTGACACCGTGGATTGCTGTCCCCTCTGGCACGGGGACAGGGGATTTTGGAGACCAAGGGGACATCAGGCGGTGTTGGGGCTGTGCCCACCCCTGTGACATTGTGGGTTGTCCCCTCTAGCATGGGGATGGAGGCACAGGGAGGGTGGAGAAGGGGACATCAGGAGGCTCTGACACCGTGGGTTCCTGTCCCCTCTGGCACGGGGACTTTGGATGGACGGTGCCAGCTCCTGTGGGGTGAGTGGGGCAGGTCTCAGGTGCAGAGGGGACTCTGAGCCATGCAAAGCCACGGTGACACGGGGACAGATGGAGTGGGGACACGGGGACACAGAGCCAGCCCGTGGCTCTCCTCTCCTGCCGCACCGGGGTGTGTCCGTGCAGGATCCCCTGGGAATTCACGGTGCAGAACTCCCTGGAATGGTGGAAAACAGGAAAACAGGAGGGCAGGGAAGGGCTGGGGGCAGGAGCCGGAGCTGATCCCGTCCCCAATTCCAGAGGGGGGCCCCAAAAAGCTGCGCAGCACCATCCGCAGGAGCACCGAGACCGGCATCGCCGTGGAGATGCGGACCAGGGTGACCCGGCAGGGCAGCCGGGAGTCCACGGACGGCAGCACCAACAGCAACAGCTCCGACGGCACGTAAGGACCGGGGCAGGGCTCGGGAAGGGCGCCGGGACCCCTCCCGGCAGAGGGATGCTCCATGAACATCCTTTGCAGGTTCATCTTCCCCACCACGCGGCTGGGAGCAGAGAGCCAGTTCAGCGATTTCCTCGACGGGCTGGGGCCGGGGCAGCTCGTGGGGCGGCAGACCCTGGCGACCCCCCCGATGGGTGAGCAGGGGCAGCCCCCAGGGAGGCTCCCGAGGGAGGGAAGGGGGGCAGAGACCGCGTGTTTCTTCCCAGGGCTCCGTCCCAGCACATCCCGGGATGTTTGGGAAGGCTGTGCCCTGTGCAGGGGAGCAGGGCTCAGGGCAGGGCATCCCTGAGAAACAGCTCTGCCTCTTCCCGGGGCGCTGCCTCTTCCCGGGGCTTCCTTTTCGATCATCCCGGAACCAAACCCTCACCTTTTGTCCCTCTTTTCCCTTTGAAATCCCAAATGGGGATCAAAAGTTGCGCCCTAAGTCTGAATTCCCAGCCAGCAGCAGCTGGGGACACCCTCCAAGGTGGCCCCCTGATCCTGCTGGGGCTGGAGATGTTGGGAATGGGAAGAGCTGCCTGGTGTCCCCTGTCCTGTCCCCCCTGTCCCTGTGGTACTGGGAGCTGGTCCTGAATAAATCCCAGCAGGAGGGACGGGAAGTTCAGGGAAGTTCAGGAAAGGGAAAAGGGAAAAAGGGAAAGGGAAAGGGGAAAGGGGAAAGGGGAAGGGGAGAGGTGTGGTTGGACTCCTCAGAGTTCCTGGCCCCTGATCTCTCCTGTCCCAGCCTCTCCTTTTCCTGGGGATCACCCGGCCAAGGCCCAGCCTGGGTAAATCCCAGCCTTATTCCCACCACGAGGGATAAAATCCCAGTGACAGCGATGGAGCTGATGGGGAGGAGGGGCTCCCACCCTGATCTCTCCTCGCTGCTCAATCCAAGCCCCTAATTCCCAACAAATCAGGCATCCAGTGGGACGCTGGTGTGAGGATGGGGGTGCCCAGTTCCCACTGGTGACGAGGACACGGGGCTGTGGCTGTCCCCAGGGGGAGGTGACCATCAGGCATGGCGCTGAAGACGTGTCCCCCTTGCAGGAGATGTCCACGTGGGCATGGCTGACCGCAACGGGCAGCTGGAGGTGGACGTGATCCAGGCCAGGGGACTCATCCCAAAGATGGGCTCCAAGTGCATCCCTGGTAGGTGGCTGTGGAGGGAGGGGGGCGGGTGCCGTGCTGGGATCATCCCAGGGTCCTGCTCCATGTCCCTGGCTGTCCCCTTTTCCCACGGCAGCCACCTATGTGAAGGTTTACCTGCTGGAGAACGGCGTCTGCCTGGCCAAGAAGAAGACCAAGGTGGTGAAGAAAACCTGTGACCCCTCGTACCAGCAGCCCCTGCTCTTCGAGGAGAGTCCCCAGGGCAAAGTCCTGCAGGTGGGCAGGGACACCTTCCCCTCTCCCAGGTGGCTCTGAGCCCCATCCAGCCTTTCCTTGGACGCTGCCAGGGGTGGGACAGCCACAGCTTCTGTGGGCTGCGATGCCCTCCTTGGAGCTGGGATGTTCTCCTTGAGGTCTGGGATGTTCTCCTTGAGGTCTGGGTGCCCTCCTTGGGGTCTGGAGTGCCTTGCTTGGGATGTTCTCCTTGGGATTGGGATGTTCTCCTTTAGGGGTTGAATGATCTCTTTGGTGTTGGGATGATCTCCTTGAGGTCCAGGATGTTTTCCTGGAGGTCTGGAATGCCTTCCCTGGGGTTGGGATACTCTCCTTGGGTTTGGGGTGCTCTCCTCAGTGCTGGGATGCTCTCCTCGAGGTTAGGATGCCCTCTTTGGGATCTGGAATGCCGTGTGCCAGGACCTCCCCACTGTTACAGGGTGAGGGGAGCGAGGCCAGGGATCCCCAGAGCCCTTCCAGCCATCCCTCAGACCTTCCCAAGCCCGACCACAGCAGGCTTTTTCCATCTGGGCAGGATTTCCCCAGAGCTCCCAGCTCCATCTCCCCCTCCCTGCCCGCAGGTGATCGTCTGGGGAGATTACGGGCGCATGGACCACAAGTGCTTCATGGGGATGGCCCAGATCATCCTGGAGGAGCTGGATCTCTCCAGCGCCGTCTCGGGCTGGTACAAACTCTTCCCAACCTCCTCCCTGGCCGACTCCAGCATCGGACCCCTGACCCGCCGCCTCTCCCAGTCCTCCCTGGAGAGCTCCACCAGCCCCTCCTGCCCGTAGAGGCTGGGACTGGGAAGGAGACATCCAAGGAGACCTTGCAGAACTGGTTGTGGAGAGATGTAAATATCCTTTTTTTTTCTTTTTTTTTTCTTTTTTTTTTTTTTTTTTAAATTTTCAATCTCCTTCCCCCACAAAAAATCTGCCCTGGACGCCTTCCCTGGGAAGGGAGAGGGAGCGAGGACCAGGTGTGAGGCAGGGGGGAAGGAGAGGTGAAAATTCCCTCCGAGGGCTGCGACTGCCAACGACCCCAGACTGTTCCCAGACCTCGTCCTGGACGCTCCCAGTTCTCTCCCACCCCTGCTGGGAGCAGCCCAGGCTGGCTGAGGACGAGGTTCCTTTTTCCTGCCACTCCCTTTCCCTGCCTCCGTGGAAAAGGTGGCTTTCCAAGGGGAAAACCCCACCGAACTCAGAACAAATCCAACTCAGCACTATTTTTGTTTTCCAAGGAATGTAGCATCTTCTCTTATGTAGCTTTGCCACGTGCTAACAACACACTCACTGCAATACCCAAGAGAACTCCGGATGGACCGGGAGCACCTGCCAGTCTCATCCCCTTTGGTCGCTTTCCCACCACTTTTGGTGGCCATTTTCCTGCCTTTTTTTACAATATTTTTCCCCCCAATTTTTTTTTTTTTTGGGTTTTCCCGGGAGCATGTAGCCTGTGACCATTGCCAAAGCAAGAGGGGACAGGGAAAGGGGCGCTGGCCTCCCCTCAGCATCCCCTGGGCTTCTCCTCGTGTCCCGGCGCCGACCGCGCGCGCGTCCGGCCAGAAGCGCGCCCAAAGGACAAACTCTGGGAATGCCTGGTGGGAGAAGGCGACCCAACGGAGCGGGAACACCGGGATCCTGGAGGATCAGCTGCCTCCCAGCCCCCTCCTTCGCAGCTGCAGGGCTGGAATGCTCTCCTTGGAGCTGGGATGCTCTCCTCGAGGTCTGGAATGCTCTCCTCGAGGTCTGGAAGGCTCTCCTTGGAGCTGAGATGTTCTCCTTGGAGCTGAGATGTTCTCCTCAATGTCTGGAATGCCCTCCTTGGAGCTGGGATGTCCTCCTTGGAGCTGAGATGTCCTCCTTGAGGTCTGGCTGTCCCTCCTTGGGGTCTGGGAAGCCCTGCTCGGGGTTGGGATGCTCTCCTCGAGGTCTGGAATGCTCTCCTTGGGGTTGGGATTCCCTCCTCAGGGGCTGGGATACCCTTCTTGGGGTCTGGAATGTCCTCCTTGGAGTAGGATGCCGTGCTTAAAGGCTGGGATTCCCTCCTCAGAGGTTGGGATACCCTCCCTGAGGGCTGGGATGACCTTCCCAAGATCTTGGATCCCCTCCTGGAGGTGCCCTCCTTGGAGCTGGGATCTCCTCCTCCTCCAGACCAGGCTGTCCTCCTCAAGGTGTGGGATTCCCTTCCCAGGCTCCAGCACGCTCCCCTCGAGGCCTGGGACATCCTCCTTGGGGTTGGGACCTCCTTCTGGAGAGCTGCGATGCCCTCCTGGATACTTGAATTCCAAGCAGGAGCAGAATCCAACCCTGGTTCTCTCCAGGGGGACATCTCAAGAGCAGCTCTGGAATTTGGGGGGCAGACAAAGGAGCGGGAGTTCCTGAGCGGGATGAGCGTTTTTGGGGTTTTTTTGTTCGTTTTGTTTGTTTTTCCAAGCAGCATTTTGGTTCCCTCCGAGGGATCCAGTTCTTGTAGCAAACCCGGGAATTACGGAAGCTTTTTTTGAAGGTGCCTATTGAAATTTGCTGAAATTACTCAGGGGAGACACCACTAGAAACTCTTGGTTTCTTCATCAAATATTCCTAAATCCAATGACTGTCCTGAAGGATCAGTTCCCAAGAGAGAAGGAACAAAATCCCGACACACCAAAAGATGAGGAGGCTGGAAGAGGACAAGAGGTTCACGGGGAATTTCATGGGGCTGGCTCTGACCTTCAGTCTTCACCACAAAGCACCCCACAGCACGGTTGGGGTTTTTATAGGATTATTTCTTGGCAAAACACGGAATTCCACGATGCACAGAGCACAACAAACCCACCTGGGCTTCTCCTGGTGGCACCGGGAATGAAGAACCAGCTCAGCCACAGCAGAACAAACCCAAACCTGAAGGAAAAGACTGTTGGGATGAAGCTGTTCCCTCCACAAACCCAACCCCAAACCTGGGGATCCATAAAACCAAACTTGGGAGTCCTCAACCCCAGATCTGGGGTCCACAAATCCAAATCTGGGGAATCATATCCAGTCCCAGGGGTCCACATACCCAAACCTGAGAGTTCACAAATCCAGACCTCGGGGTCCACAACCCCAGTTCTGGGGTTGCATAACCCCAAATCTGGGGGCCCCAAAAACCCAAACTTGGTGTTCCATAACCTCAAATCTGGGGTTCCACCAACCCAAATCTGAAAGTCCACAACCCCAAACTTGGGTGTTCACAAATCTAGATCTGGGCAATCATAAATCCAAGCTTGAGGGTTCACAAATCCAAACCTTGGGGTCCACAAGCCCAAATCTGGGGTTCCACCAACCCAAACCTGGAGTTCCATAACCCCAAAGTTCCACAACCCCAAATCTTGGGGTCCACAAATCCCCAAACTTGGGAGTCTACAGACCAGATCTGTGGGTCTACAAACTCCAACTTTGGGGTCTACAAACCCACACATGGGGTTCCACAACCCCAAAACCGTGGCCACCAGGACTCTGTGCTGTGGCCAATTCACCTGGCAGTGCCACAGCTTTGGTGCCGTCGTGACGGGGACTCGGAGCTGCTGCCATGACCTTGCCAACTCCAAACCACCCAGAAGGGAATTGGCTGGATCCCGCTGAGCTGGGGTGGGGAAAAGTTCATCCTTTCCCCCCATGAGGGATGAAATCCTCCTCAGAGGAGAAGCGATTCCTGGACGGAGACCTCTGGGAATGTGGGATGCCCTGAACCTCGGGTGGTTTGGGGAATGAACTCGGTGCCCTGAGCGCTGAGACAGGAACAAACAACGGCTTGGACTCGATGTTCCCTCCTGAGCGCGGAATCACGGCAAACAGAATTCCATGAGGCTCAACCTAGCGGAGCCGCTGCTGGATTTTTGACTTTCCATGAGGGAAAGCATCCCAAAAGGAAAAGCCTTCTGCTCCTCCAAGCTGCCGCTCTTCCCTCTGCCTTCACCAACTCGATTGTGACGGGAAAACTCCAAATCCGCGGCGGGATTGTCCCGGGCACGGGGCAGGAGCGTGGGCAGAGCAGGGAGCTGAGCAGGGACGCTGTGCTCCCGGAGCGCTCCTGGCGTGGGCACAGCTTCCCACCCCCGCCGCATTCCCGCATTCCTCCGGCAGCGCTTCCCTGCTCCTGCCAGGAACATCCCACGGCCGTGCCTGCTGAGAGCTGAGCGCGGCCACCACGCGCTCCCAGGGCCAGCACGAGCGTCCCTGGCTTTCTGCTGGAAAAATCCCGGTGAAATTCCACCTGGGAATGAGGAAAACTCAAAGATTTTCCACCTGGGAATGAGGAAAACTCAAAAGATTTTCCACCTGGGAATGAGGAAAACTCAAAGATTTTCCACCTGAGAATGAGGAAAACTCAAAGGTTTTCCACCTGGGAATGAGGAAAACCCAAAGATTTCGGCTCGCGAGGATGAGTTGGGGGTGACAAAGTGCAGCCCCTCCATGGGTGGGGTTCCTCCTGCTCCTGGGGAAGGGGGAACACCATGGAGTGGCACCAAAATCCAGGAAAACATTCCCTCCTTCCCTTCCAGTCCCCCAGGAGCTGCCACTCTCTTCCCAGCAGGAATAACCCACCTTAAACTGGTGTGGGAAACCCAGACTGGGGGAGAAGCCAGGATTGTGCCACGTTGGGGTTGCAACATCAGCTTCTCATTTCTCAACCCCCAGGACCTCGTGTCAGATGTTTTCCTTCCTCAAACAACGAGAAAAACACAGCCAAGACACCCAAAAATCCCAAACTGAGCCCCGTGCCAGCTCCTGAGGAAGTGAACTCCATCCCAGGATGAATTCCTGCACTCCAAGGTTGGTTTTTTGTTGTTTTTCTGGGGGAATATTTTCTCACAAAGGGCATTTTTTGATGTGCATTTTGATTTTGCAAAATTCCCTGGAAGGCATTTTGAGTTTGATGGTTTTCTCTATTTTCTGTCAAGAAAAGAAATCCAAATCACTGGATTTGCCAGAGATTGTTTTTCCTAGAAAGAGGAATTAATATGGAATGACATCAGTTTTGCAGCACATTTCACACCCAGCCCCCAGCAGAGAGGAGCAGCCCCCACCTGACACTGCCAGAACTGAAATCCAAACCCCCAGCTGGAATCACGAGGATGGATTTGACAAAAAAAAAAACAAAACCTTGGAATGATGCTGGAACATCCCCTGAAAGCTGACAAAATTCACACAAAGCACAGAGAACACTCCAAGGTTCCGGGCCTGAGTTATCCCTGGTTTTCCACCAGCCTGGAACGGGCCAGATTTGCCAAAATCCAGGGAAAACTTCCAAGAAATTGGGATCAGCCAGGATGCAGCTGCTGGTTCATCACCATCGGGGCATGCTGAAAACCTGGGAGAGGAGGTTTGGCTGGAGTTTTGCCAAAATCCAGTGGAATCCAGCAGCAATTCCCTGAACCTACTGCCACAGAGCACCGGAGAGGGGGGGAAAAATCCCCTCCACCTTTCCCAGCTGTGCCAACCTCTCCTCCAGGAGCTGCCAGCTCCTGGTGCCACACAGACCAGGAATTCCTCAGGAATGGGATCAGGATTCCCTCGGCTCACTGGGAATCTCTTCTGTTCACTGCCTGACACCACAACTTGGGAAATCCAGCCTGGATTCCACAATTCCCACCTGGACTCACCAAGCCCAGCAGGGCAGGAAGGATTTTTTTTTTCCTCACACAAAACAATCCCTAAAAAAACTGCACCAGGGATGTTTTTCCAGGTGGAAAATTTTTCTCCCAGTTGACTCAGCTGTTTCTTTCTGGATGGATGGGAAATGCCTGGATGTGGGAAGCTCTGGATTGGTTTGGAAAATACCAGAATTGTGCAGATCAAGGAACAGTGGCCGGGCTGAATCCAACCTAAGTGAGTTTTTCCTCACGGATGGGAAGAGCTCTCCCTGTTTTCCCTGGGGATTTCATGGCTGCAGATGGATCTGGAGAATTCCCAGCAGGGTTTGAATCCTGCTGTGCCAAGGGCAGCACGGCCTTTTCCAGTGGTTTTGTAGCAAAGCTGTTCCAACTGGAAGTCTTCCCTCTGCTGCACAGATCCCAGGCTGGTTTGGGTGGGAAAGACTAAAATCCATCAAATTCCAGCCCCTCAGAGGCTGCTCCAAGCCCCATCCTGGGACACTTCCATGGACAGGGCAGGATTTCTTTTTTCACGGAGAAACCCCCTCCCAATCCTTGCCTGGTTGGGTTAAAGGTGTGAAAATCACTTTTAGGAGTTGAAAAGCTGCAGGAAAGACTTTTTAGGAGGAAAAAAAAATAAAAAAAAAGCATCCCAAATAAAAAGGTTGGAATTTTGGGGGTGACTCCGTGACAGGGTGGGACAATCCCGCTCACCTGAGGAAGATTTTGGGTTTAAAAAGACACAGAAAAGTGTCCAAAAATGTTGGTCTGGGTGGCTGAGGAACCTCCACGTTGTGGGACCCCCGAGCATCCCTCAGGAACACCGGGATGGGCTCCAGGAGAATCCAGGAGATCCCAGTGCTCCCCCAGGGCCTGGAGCTCCGGTTGTTGCTATACCTCATCCTTTCCTTTTCCTTGGATCTTTCCCTTTTCCCACTTTTTCCATTCCTTTAGGACCCAGAGCTTGTGCACTCGGCCACATCCAGGTTTTATTTGGTTTTTTTGGTTTGTTTTCCTGTGGAATGAAAAGCAATCCATGATTGGGGTGGGCAACTCCCAGCCCTGCTCCCTTTGGGATTTGAGCCCGAGGCAAGGGAATCCCGGGGCTGGAGGGATGATCCAGAGGGATCCCGGGGTTGGAGGGATGATCCAGAGGGATCCCGGGGCTGGAGGGATGATCCAGAGGGATCCCGGGGCTGGAGGGATGATCCAGAGGGATCCTGGGGCTGGAGGGATGATCCAGAGGGATCCCTGTGCCCCTTTTCCATCCTCCCTGTCCAGCAGCCCCTCCAGGGCTGCCCTGAGCCCCCAAACCCCTCCCAGGGGTGGGAGAGGGGCTCGACAAAATCCAGCAGTGCTCCCACCCTTGGGAGGGCACAATTCCCTCTCCAAATCCCTTGGAAGGGCACAAATCCTTTTCCAAATCCCTTGGAAGGGCACAAATCCCTCTCCAAAGCCCTTGGAGGAGCACAAAGCCCTTGGAGGGGCACAATTCCCTCTCCAAAGCCCTTGGAGGGGCACAAAGCCCTTTCCAAATCCCTTGGAAGGGCACAAATCCCTCTCCAAAGCCCTTGGAGGAGCACAAAGCCCTTGGAGGGGCACAATTCCCTCTCCAAAGCCCTTGGAGGGACACAAAGCCTTTTCCAAAGCCCTTGGAAGGGCACAGATCCCTTTCCAATAAATTTGGAAGGGCTCAGATCCCTCTCCAAATCCCTCAGAGGGGCACAAATCCCTTCCTAAACCCCTTGGAGAGGCACAAATCCCTCTCCAAAGCCCTTGGAAGGGCACAAAGCCCTTGGAGGGGCACAAATCATTTTCCAAAGCCCTTAGGAGGGCACAATTCCTTCTCCAAAGCCCTTGGAGGG